TCTTTTTTTTTTTTTTTTTTTTCTTTTTTTGGTGCATCAGATCATACAAAAGAGTTGATATTTACATCAAAGACAATAAATATGCAATGTGTACTGTGGATAAGGACACAAAAGGTTACCAAAAATTGGAGAATGAGCTGTGAAATTCAAAGTCTGGCTTCCATTTAAGCCCCCATTTTCGATTTAAGGGTCTTTTATGATACACGCTAATTGCTGGAACCCATTCAATAGTTCTTGTTGTTGAGAGAAAATCCCACTGCCCTCACTAACTTGGTCCTATTGTAGAAGTTAACCAAGAAATCAGAATAATGATCATCAAATGTCCCAAAAGGATAAAGTGTATAGGATTTTATTAAACGAGCTCAAAATTTAAATGTGTAGAACCTGCTCGGAGATGTGTCATTCACAAGCGATCTTTGTGTCGAAGCTGCTGAGGCAGATGGCGAAGGCCTGAAACGCTGAGATTGGATACCTGTAGTCCATTGTAAATATATCCTTTCCTACTTTTCCAAATTGAAGGATGATCTTCTCGTGTTCAGGTCCAGCAGGTCCATTTTCAGGTGAAGCTACTAACTGAAAGTTTTTCACTGAAGCAATTGTCACTCGGCCGTGAAAGTTCAAACACCAACATTGGAGCTGTTCGTGCCACCGCGGAGCCTTGTTTCTGAGCACCAGAAGTCCATCTTTCTGATTGGATGAAGATCCCGATGATTGATCATCGGTGTGATTTGGTTCATTTGATTTCGACCAGGAAAATCTCATTGATGGAAGAAAGTCTATACGGCTCGAGGAGAATTCAGTCTGTATTGGAGCCACCCCTCCTGGTTCAATAGCAGAGGCAGGAATAGCATCCATGACGCAATGCATTCTTCTTGGACCCCTGATGATGACATACACCATATTAGCCTCTCTAAAGCAACACACAGGAATAAAAAAGCTCTAACAGTATCTGGTTAATACAGAAACAAGGCAAAAGCAGATTAGTGCGTATCTAGCTCATTCAGCACAAAGTATTACATATACAATGACAAACAACATTTTATTGGAGGGGTTTATTTGAATTATGAGAGTAATACATCTCGATAACAGATCGTTTTCTGGAGAAACAGCACGATTCACAAAGAAAGACTCAAGTCTATTCATATGTACCTTGAACCCAAGACATTTAACTCATATGAGATGTGAGCCACAGGGTAGTTGCCGTCAGGAACTCTAGGTGACACTTGTTTCAGGCCTACAAGCCTAGAGGAGCGACTTCTTGAGATCTTGGCTCCCGCATGAGGTGGCTGTCCATCAACGATTGTGAACTTGGTCCCTAAAAAGTTAGATCTTTGAAAGAAAAATTAATTAATGTTTGAGTTAATACAAAAATAGATAAATAATCGTACAGTCAACATCAACGCTTCCTGGAGCCCTACCTTAATTTTCCAATAAAGGTGCCACTTGCCTTGGACATGTCATCAGCATGCAGTGATATTATATAATCAGTGCAAGTGGCCCGTCGACACTTACGGGCAGCAAGAAGAAACTTTCCATCGTCAGCAAGTGCTGTCGCCAAAACCAAAGGCCAAAAATGAGTCACTTTCTATGTGCCCCCATCCCCTTTCCCCCATAAAACATAACTACATACGCTATAAAATCTAAAAAGGAGGTCAATACCCTTGAAAGATACAATAAAAATAGGGCCTAGCGAAGAGTTAAAGCACCTTGTTTAGGATATTTAGCCTTCGTGTTACCGCTTACAATAGATATCATATTTGACCTGACAAATATCTTGTACTCATTTATTGCTCTTCCCCTTTATTGTTCTTTCCATATCCTTTATAATTTATTTGATTCTCTAAATCATTATAAATAGAGAACTTTCACACGATTTAGGTGCAGTGGTTTTGGCAAATACACTATTGAACTTCTAAAAATAATCTTGCAATTAATTGAACAAACCGCCAATAGAATAAATAAGGAAGGAAAGTGTCAAGCAACTTGCTTTAGGTATGGAAGCTTACCACTCGTCAAACTAAGATAAAGGCAATAAGTTTGTGCGGATCGATTCCGTTTTATGAAACAATGAAGAAGCAAATCCCTTGGACCAGGCTGCCAAGCAAAAATAATAATAATAAATTTTTTGAAAAAAAAATACCAAGATAAGAAGGAATGTGGTGACGTAGAAACTTCAAATCTAATAAAACTTCAAAAAGTAATTAAATAGTTTTCTCTAATCCGTTCTAGACAAACTATCATTTCAAAATAAATAAACCAATAAATATAAGCATGTTTAAGTAAATGCATATATATATGAATGTATGCATGTGTATATAAGAAAACCCAGAAAGGAAAAACAAGTAGTTCAAATAATTAATCCAGTTAATTGATTTCACCAGAAACTGGAACTGCAATAATGGAAAAACTTATATAACACTCAACAAGTTATCCCTATATTTATGCATACATATGTGAAGGAAATAGTGCGCAGCACTCTCATAAAGTAGAAGCCAATAATTAGAGTGGACCTAAAGCATTGCTGCTAAACGTGGCCCCTAAAAAGGTAGCGATAACTTTTGTTGCCAATTTCATGTCTCTTAGAAAGAATTCCACATGATAAACGACAAATTTGAGAAACTGGAAATGTATGTGAGATGTTGCAAACACCACAACCACCACCAAATCAGAGACTCAATTCATACACGAGTTGAATTTTTCTAAAGTCGTGTTTTCTCCATAAGCTAATTTTAGAACAAAATCATGCTTTCTATAGCAATGATGAACGAATTAATATAGAAATTTGATAAAAATATGCACGCAGATTTCTTTATCCCAAAAGATAAACACGATAAATACCAATACAAGAAAGGAATTATAAATTAAATCTGTTCATCTTAATCCCAGATCTTGAACAGGAAGATTCGTTTCTAGTTTTGAGAATAAGTTAACCTAGAATACACTCCAGAAATATGCTCTACAGGGAAAGATAAACAGGATAACAGGTTATGTGAATCTAGAAAAGGAAAACCATACATGACGATTGCTAATAATGGACAATCATGAATCAGCAACCTAAGCGAAAAATACGCCAGCATTAACAAGTTCGCCCGCTGAATTTTAGGAACAAAGAACAGATGGTAGTATGGAGAGGCTTGGTTCGATAATTCGATTAAAACACAGGAACAAAAACCAAACGGAGTCGCGAATTACATTTAGAACATCAAATTCAAAGCGACGCAAAAAGAATCAGAAAATTAAAACAAGTTTGAGATCCCAAACCTGCTTGACGGAAATAGGAAACGTCAATGTGCCAGAAACTTCGGGAGTTTTAACAATCTCCTTAGTAATCCGTCTCCAGCTCCGGCAAACTCCAGCGCAAGCCACGACGCTCTTCCGCGGAGGCCAAGCATTCTCAGAGCTCTCGATTCTAATCAAAACCTCTCTCAGCAACTCCTGAGGCATGTGAACCCAACAGCTCTGCGCCAAACCATCACCGACTTCGGCCGTCGATCCATCCTGCACCACACGGCGGGACCTGGATCTCATTTCCTGAATTATGCTCTTCAAAGACATGGAAACCGAATTGTATGGCAACAGTCCTTCTCATACAAAGCCTTTGTGAACGAAGAGAAGCCAGAATCGGAAGAGAGAGTGAAGAAGTTGGGGAAAACGAAAGGAATCTTGGCGAGAAAATTGAAGAAATATTCCGGGAGAAATCAAAAGTGGAAAAGATTGGGATTTGGAAGAGAAAGAGAAGAACAGTGTTGGTTTGTAGAAGGTAAGAATCGAGTAGAGAGGATTGTGATGTCTACTGAAAAGTCGAATTGCCCCTGAAAAATTCCAGACCTTTGCTTTCTACTCTTTCACATTATTTAACTCTTCAATAAAAAAATAAAATAAAATAAATTGTTAAAAATTGCAATTTGGTCCTTCAAAGGGGCCAAAATTAATTTATACCTACTTTTTCTATAATTTAATTAATAAATAATTTTATCATTTTAAATTTTAAATAAATAAGGGTAAAATAATTACATTAAATTTTTATGAATTTGTTGATTTCCGTAAATAAAAATAAATAAATAATTAAAATGGCCCAAGTCCGCTACCGCGGTTGTCGTCTTTCAGCTCTCTTTTTTGGGACTTCTCCTTAAGATTTTAAAACGTGTATACTAGGGAAAGGTTTTCACACTTTACAAGTAGTGTTTAGTTATCCTCTCCGACCAACTTGGGATACCACAATATATTTAATAATATTTATTTTAAGATTATATTTTAATAAATTAATAATGTTGGATTATTTAATAGAGATGACAAGACAACACTGATCACTATCTATAATAGTTGTTTAATTTTGTTTGGAAATATAATCTTATCCAAAAATAAATCATTTACTTTTTAAATAACATATTCGTCGAATAAAATATTTCTTTAATGGAGAGGTTTTAAGTTAAAATTATTTCATACAACAAGTTCTTAAGAGTTACATGAATAAACTGAGACTACATCTAAATGAGAGAAATCTCGAGGATATGTAAATTAGGGCAGGTTGGTTGGATTGATAGCCTGAGCAAACCGAATATATTTTACAACCCAACTCAAACTCGAAAAAAATCTAATATAACCTAACTTTTATGGTTTGAGTTGGATAGTACGGATTGGTCGGGTTATCAAGTCATATGAACATTCCTAGTGCAACTATCATTAGAAAGACTTAAACCAATTAAAAGTTATTATTAAAAAACTAACAGAACAATCATATGTTACGTGATTTCCAAAAAATTTTCTGAAAAACATGTGAATTTGGATAAAACATACTAAAAGAACCCGTGTCAATCTAATAAAGAGCCGAAAGACTGCTGCCACATGGTTTTTGCTAGTAGGTAAGGATCAACCAGCTCCCACCACATGTCCCATTCATTTTATGCTAATTCTTCTCAAATTTATATTATCCGAAATGTGATAATTATGCTGTTTTTAACTTTATAAAATAATATTTTGGGTAGAGTAAATATTATTAAAAAAAATTTAAAAATTAAAATAAATCATTTACAAAATTAAAAGAAACCTAAAGTTTTGTTAAGTTGGCTAAATAACTAAAAAAAAATAATAATTCAAACTCCAACTTTTATTATTAAACTCTTAAAATAATTTAATAAATAAATAAAGTAAATAAAGAGCCTGATTTTTTTGGAAATCAAACAAGTCTTCTGCGACTTAGGAGTCCTCGCAATTTGACAATTTAAAAAAAAAATCATTAAATATATTCTGGGAAGAAAAGTTTAAAACTTTATATTCGAGTAAAAGTATTAATTTTGAAAAGATAAAGTCATAATTTGACTTTAAAATTTAAAATAAAATAATTAAAACCATTGGGCCCATGGCAATTATGTCTGCCATTAGTATGGGCCCACTTGAAGGCCCACTTGGACACAGGCTTGTCCATTTACAGGTTGTTTTTAGGGTCATCAAATATTAATTAAAAATAATTCCTGCTTTTTTATTAAGGAAAATAAATAAATCAATCAATCAATAACTATTTTTTTTTTTCTTAAATTAAAAGAATTTTGAGGTTCATTAAAAACCGTTTTTAGTGGCTAAAAAGATCTTACCAAAGTTTTGTGGTTAATCATGATTTGTTATCTAAACATAAATACATTCGATTAAAATAATATTTTTTTTATATAAAATTTATATATATATAAAATGAACCTTGTAGTTTAGTGGAACTAATTTTTTGGTATTGATTCTTTTCCTTGAATAATTCTTTAAAATAATTGTTGCCGAATATATTTTTAAAAAATCAGAAGTATTTGGTAAATATCAAACTTTTTTTAAATAAGAATTTCAAGGGTCAACTTACTATAAATATTTTGACGGGTGGGTCACATAAGTTAAAAGACAATTTTATTCACGAAACGATTAAAATTTCCTTAATCGACTTCAAGCTGAATAGCATAAATTATTCAATAAGATTATCACAATGATACCGACCATAGACCCACTAAATTTGCACCAACTAAAAAATGCCATTCTAGTAAATGAAAGCACCCAAAAAAAATCTCAATATTTAAGCCGCCATTATCTCATCCTACTTTATAAAAAAATATTCCAACGGACCAATTTTCTTGGCTGCAAAAGAAAGATTCCTACGACCTACGTACATAAATATCCCTAAATTAACAACCAACTAAGAAGATAAGGAGGAGGCCTTCCAATCTAACTACCACCTAACACCCAAAAATGATAACTTCTAGACTAATAATAACAGCCCAATGACCCCAAAAATGACAACTTTTAGACTAATAATAACAGCCCAATGGTCATAAAAAAAAAAAAGCTACTAAGTTAACCTCCAAGAAACAAACCGAAGGCTTGTAGAGTAACATAGCTAACCACGAGCTCTAACAAAGACTAAATTGATAAAGTCAGATGCAAAAGAGCCTTTTGTTGAGGATAGATGGTGAGGAGTCCTACATCGGCTAATTAACAAGATAATCATGGATATGAATTTATAAGTAAGGATATATGTTCATATCCTTCATTGGTATGAGGCCTTTTGGGGAATCGAAAGCAAAGTCACGAAAGCTTATGCTCAAAGTAGACAATATCATACTGTTATGTGGAGATTCATAATTCCTAATACCTTTTGCACCAAGCAACTCCAGGATAACAAACTCTCTTAAGTCGTTATATTCTTGACATAAAAACTTTAACCTAACCTAACCTAATCTAACCTAACCTAATCTAACCTAACTGAACCAGACATCTAGTTTCTTCCGAAGAAAGGAGAAGAAATAAGTCATGTTTTTAGTTCCTTCAGCTCTAACACTGTCATCTAATAAATATCTACGGGAGAGAGAGAGCCTTCACAAAAATTAAAATGATCGCATTTGAAATGGCTGAAAGACATATTTACACTTGGCAGTGAACAGAAGAGATTAAATACAAAGAGATAGAATGAACAATTTCAAATGATTTTCATTGCCAATATAAAAAACAAGGTTTATGGTCCTAACCTCAAGTTTAGGGTTAATTACATATAGCACTGTGCCTACAAAAACGTGCCACCAAGACTTCTATACAACAAGGACACTTCCGCTTGGCTGTTGCCTAGTCTACAATGGTTTGCCTGAAAAATCATGAATAATAATAAGCATTTTCCTCTCCTAAATTGAGTTAGTAGTATAATGTCACTATCATGAGAATGTGAAAGATAGTGATAACAGTCTTTCATATCCTCTTGTGTCCGAAAAAGAAACACTCGCATCCTCGTGATCGTTTGGAAAATTATTGAAAAGACTGTATCACCAGAAAAGGACAAGACATCAACCACAGGACAAGGACAATTTCTCATGGAAGACAAATGATAGAAACAAGGAACAAAAAGTAGAAGGGCGATCTCACAACTTCTCATCTTCCCGGAAATAAGTTTCTTTTCGATTACCCACCGCACGATGAACTAAGAAAAAGGGAACTTCGAGGCTATTTCTTTACGGGGGTTCCTAACGAGCCGTTAACCCCACCTGACAGCCACTCAAAGGGATGATGACCATACAATAATCCTATACCACATAGAATTTGACTCAGGAGGGAACTGCCATATCCATTTTATTAACAGGGCTCTATTACGAGCCCTAAGATTCCCAAGATCTAACCCACCAAGACATAACGCCTTTCCCATCGCCTCCCATCTCATAAGTTGCACTCCTTCCCCTTCATCAACTCCTTCCCAAAAGAAATCATCCACCATTTCTCGATAGACTTGCTTACACTGCAAGGAAGGTGAAAACGAAGGGAAAAAAATTGGGATTCCACTAAGTACAGAGCTAATGAGAGTCATGCTGCCACCTCTCCAAGAACCAATCTTTTTCTCACCTGGTCCACAACAAGATTTCCAAAAATAAGTTTCTTGGGTTACGTACCGAAGGAAGGCCTAAAAAAGAGGTGGGAAATGCACCCCGATTTCACACCCGACTAAAGAAGCCCCCCTGCCTACCTTTTCAGAATCACAATTCAAATATCACAAAAACAAACTTAAAATAACTACATTATCACAAAAACGAGGAAATCAATTGAAGGGTAACAAAAATTTGAAAACTACAACAAGCAGTACCTGAAATATCTTCAAAATAGTTAGGACTAGCCGTCTAGGTGGATAGTTTTTTCTGTGTCAATTCAACTGGAGCAATCTGTGGCCATGCAACACTGCTGCCAACAACAAACTGATTTGAGGCACCACCGGCAGGCAGACATTTTCCAGATGAGAATATGGCCAGATTGTTGTCAGGTTTCAATGCAGAGGTTAAGGAATGACTATCCATCTGTTTTCCAAGGAAGAGCAATTGTTTTACATCATCCGGATAACAAATTGATGCAAGCTGATGCTTAGGTAAAATTTCACAACTAGCACAATAGAAGACTATACCTGATGTTCGTGATGCAACTTTCTTTTAAGTTTTCCCTGAAAGACAGTGCGTATGTGGAACAATTGTATTTTGTTGTTAGAAAATGTACAGTCCATCAAGTAACATAAAGTATATTACAATGTTAAAATTGCTTGAAATTGAATGGACTAGAATATAAGTCTGTCTTAAATTCTAAAAATATGTAGTTCATTACATTGGAATGCATTAATGTGCAAAAGTATGTCTCTATAATGCCTTGTATCAGTGTCCATGCTTTCCATTCCAGCAAAAAGACCGCCCTTTTAAGTCAGTATGTTAGGCTATGTCAAACATTAACCATCGTCAATGAATGGAGAAAGAAAGAAAGAGAAAAGGCTGAAAGCTGACTATGCAAGGAAGTCCATGGATTTACACATATATGACTCAGAAAATTAAGAAACCATTACATAAAAGATAGAAAAGGGAACATTTAAAATAATATAGATCAATACCTTCTTTCCAATAATCTCATTTGTTTGTTCTTGGGACGACTCCTCCTGAGAAGAATTATCAAATTGTTTTACATTTTCCTTCGTCATTTCATGATCCACCGTATTACAAATTTCCTTGCTAGATGCAACAGCCTCCCAGTAAAGATAACCAAGCGCAGAACGTAAATGATTATTTCTTTGAGAGTAATATATTTTACTTGCAAGAGGAAACGGAACATCTGGTGGACAAGAAAAAAAATAAATGTCATCAAGCGAAGCAAAAGAGGACAAGCAATAACTTGAGAGAAAAAACTAAAGCATAGTCAATAATTTAAAACCTCTCTATGGAAAGAAAAATAAATTCCATTAACAGCAACCCACGCCCCAAGAAAAAAAGGTAAAATAAAATATTCATATATTTCAGTATTTGAATGTCTTCCTACTCTAGGATTCCTAGCTGAATACACCCACGATAAACATCTCAAAGGAAGTAACCAGAAGACCCAGAGATTTCTGTTCACTTCCATGAACCTTCTTTTGTGTATATCAAAAAATTTATAGAAGCTACAAACTCAAATAAAATTTGATTTCAAGTACTGGATCCACGATTCACGCATAATTATATATGCAGATAATATTTCTAGTTAAATTGTTTTTTGCCTAGATGGAAACTAGTAAGGCTCTGTAAGTTGCAAATGTAGACTGCTCTTCTTCCAGCGAGCACTATGCTTTACTTTCATCTTTCTAGCAATAATCTAACACTTACACACATTACCAAAAGAAAAAAGGAGGGGAAGCTGGCTTCAGGGGCATGGTTTCTCACATCTAATTTTTGCTTTAGCTGACGATGGCTCTAAATCAGATGTCAGTAACAGTCCTTCACCAGTTATCCTACAAGAACACAATAGGAACTGAATCATATACTTGGTGACCATTTCTTAACAAACGATTGCAAACTATAACATCTGTCATTAAACTAGACACCTAGTCCTCAGAAAAATAGTCCATGAAAACTTGGCAGAAAAAGCAAGGAAATGGTTTGGTTAGGTAAGAAGTTAGTACAATTTGACATTGAATGCATCTTAGCTGTCTCTTCAAACTCCCTGAAACTGCATTTTGTCATACTCCCACACACTTAATTGGAGAGCTTTTTGGTGATTTTCTTAGCCCTCTATAGCTTGAGTTGCATTTCTTTCCCACCTTATTTTTAGTAAATATGTGTAAACAATGAAGTGTTTTCTTATCTTAACTATATATATTGATAAGACTATATATTTGTAAGAGTATAATAACAACAACTCAATGTACTAGAAGATATTGAAAAGCATAAATACGACACACACTTTTCTAGCTTATGGATTACAAGGCTTACCATAACTTATAGCTTAAAAGCAGACGCAAAAACTTAAAACAGAGAGTGAAAAAGGAATATAAGTTGAAAACCCCATGGGAATGTGTGTGTTCTAACATAAAACAAACCTCAGGAAAAAAAAAAACAAATGAAAAGAACATAAAGTAAAAAAACACCCAAAACTAGAATAAAACATTGAAGAAAAAATTGCCCAAGCTAATAGGAATTTTTTTGCACATAACAGTTGTTAACAGATAAAACAACGAAATTCAAGTAAAAAAAAAAAAGAAAATGTCATACAATTTGGACCGCTTTGTGGAAGGATGTGTCAAACTAGCTGAATGATCTACAACACCAGGACAGACTCCTGTAAAATCATCGGGTATAGGCGCCACATTGTAGGTATTTCCTGAAGGAAAATAAACCGTATGCACCAACTAACATAAGCCATTGTAATTGAAGGTTTAGAAATCCTTAAATTATAGTTTGTTTAAATAACAATCGGATCCAAAAAAATATCTTGACTTAAAATAAAAAACCTTAATTCATCAGAATTGAAATATGTATTTATTTAAGCCAACAAAAGTTCATTAGAGGAGACAAGAGCCGGGCTATATCTCAAAAGCTGGCCAATATACACCTTGGATGGTACAAAGAATATAGATGCTTACCCAGTCCTCAGCTATTCCTTAAAACCGTAGAAAGATGAAGATGGATAAAAGCATCCTATTTTATAGGCAGGGAATGAGTTCCCTCTCCATTGCTACTCTATAACATACAGGAACAAAACAATGGAAGACCTAGCACTACCATTACAAGCATAAGAAATTACTCCATGTGAAATTCTGACTCTGTTGACTAATAGATATTTTAACAATAGTTCACATGGAAAATGAGAATATATATACATATATAGCCACATAAATAAAATTCACAACCTCATATATTGTAAATCAAAAGTTAGAAAAGGAAAAGAGTAAAAGAGAGCACAAACTAAGGATAAAGGTGGATTTACTTTTTGTTAACTTGACCATTTCAAATTGGTTATTAGTTGGAAATGCAGGGGAAGCAGAATAATCAGCATATGCTGATTCAGATCCTTCTTTCTCCAGAGCTGATATATCTAGGAAAGATTAAGAACTAAAAAAATGTAAATCCAATAACAAGACTAGTCTGCACTGAAAAATCATAAAAAGGAAAGCGAGAGAGAAAGAAAGAGACGGTTCACAAATTACATTGAACAACTCTTCTCAAATTCAGGACAAAGCCGAGCATAAAAGAGACAGGATAACAGGAAGGCCAAAAGAGAGAGGTTCATCAATTAGAAGCAGGAAATAAATGTGACATGGAAGGATACTAGCATCAGCAGGTAATAGCTTTTTCCTCTCCTTCCTCGAGTGTTTTCTATGGCCCATCCCACCATCAAGGTCCATAATAGCTCCTTGTCCCAAACCTAATGACCTGCAAAGTTCTGGTAAAATGACATGAAGATAACTCAGGAAAGCATCATGTCCAACCTATGATACATACAAGACTTCACAATGGGGACCCTGACAATAATTTTCAGAGTCCATTGGTCCACCCAAGTGTAAACTAACGAAATATAAGTCTAAATTACAAAGACTAATATACCTCAACCGTAATACAAGGTAAGAATTATAGGGTAAAAATTCATTATAAGCAGGAGAAAACATATCAAAAAGCACAAGAGGCATGATTGGATTATTCATATTGCCAAAAATTTGGATTTGAGTACAAATGACAAAATGACCACAAACAAGCTCAGTATTAGATTCTTTACAATACAACTTAAAAGAATTTATTACAACCTAAACAAATATCGATGAAATCTCTGAAACATTCAAAATCAAATTATTCTTCAAATGGGTACGAATTCTATGACACAAGATCTAACCTTAACATTAAGTTAAGTACAGCAGAATACAAGCATGAACACTTATCTTATACTGAGTGTCGATGTCAACGTTGACATGGATAGACTAAGATGTAAAAACAAGTTCAAGACATTAACAAAAGTATGCACATTTAAAACAACAGCAGACAAAACAAAAAGTAGGGGAACTAAACATAATTTGATTATGAAGAACCACAAGCAGTGAATACCCCACCACAAAAAGAAAATGAATAAATAAATAACAGACCAGAATGAATGATGTATTGGCTGGCCTTTACTGGCTTCTTACAGATATTGCAGCAAACCTACACGATCAAATAAAAGGAGAGAAAATGTGAATTCAAATAAATTAGGAAACATATTATTGTAGATTATTATGTACTGAATACACCTTATCCAAAAAAGTAACAAAAGCTGCAAAGTAATAAAACAAGAACTGAAATGGACCATCTGATAAAATTGTTTTGCTTCATCGTACATCATGCAAAAATGACAAGATTTTAAATAGACGAACTACTAATGTCATCAAACCTTACCAAATTCAGAGGATCGGTCATGGGCTTCAAACCAAAAACGTGCATATCTGCAAATAGAAAATAAGGTAAACAAACCTGCTTCAAAAATCTAAATGCCTACAAACAAAAACATTAATACTCAACCCACGGGACCATAAAAAATATGAATTCTAAGATCAAAAGAACATTCATTTGTAACCAAAGAATAAAACATTTAACGCTACATCATGCAATAATTGAAGAAGGATTAGGTAAAAACCTTCTTCATCAATTAAATTTGCTTCATCTGCATCACGAATTTCTCTGCAGAGAAATTCAGACGCTAATTTCTGATGACCAGCTTCCTCTGCTCGATAGTAAAAGGACATTAATTATGACTCTGAATTATAGATGAAATGTAACTCAGAAGATGGCATTATTCCTACAACAATCAATCTAACCAATAATTATTTCTGACTATAACAGTCACACAATAACATTCAAAATGTAGGCGGAACGATTTTTAAAAAAACAAAAACAAAACGAATGCAGAACTCATCTTTCTCTGTTTACCTGCAATAGTTCGCGAGAAACTCCCAGCAGCCAGAAGCCTTGTCATCACCGCCATTCTCACACTTCCAACTGAGCAAACCATTGAGACTATGCAAATGTATTGTACGCGAAGGAAGAAGTTTTACACCGCTGGGAATAAAAACATCTAAAAGAAAGAAAGAAAAAACAGTGAGACGAATCCACCTGCGTTGCCACAAACAACGAAATCTTTTCCCCGTTTCAAAATTACACTCAGAATATAACCTTGAGTATTGAATTAAATATATTTAAAAAAAAAAAATCGACAGTGCTCAGCCAGAAAAAAAAAAAAAAAAACAGCAGCTGATTAATCTAACTCCAGAACTAAGTCAATACCATAAATCATGTAACTTCCGGGCGATTAGGTAGAACGACCACCAAGGGAGAATGGCGACTTGTTCAACTTTACATAAAACGACACAAACACAAGCACCACAACCTCAATTTCACAACAAGGCAACATAATAAACCACAACAACTAATAGAATCATCAGAAAAGCCAGTCAAAAGCAGCAAATAAACCAAAAACAACAACAAACAAACAAAACTCGTGAAAACAAACCGCGAAACGAGCTTTCAAATGGCAGAAAACCACGACTAACCTGCAGAGAAGCTCCTCCAATCATACACGCCCACAGAAACCGACGAGAAAGCAGATAATTTCGAAACAATTGCAGAAACGAATTCTGCGAAGTTTGTGAGAAATGCTGCGGAAGAGATGGCCGAGAAGAGAGAAGAAACCCTATGGAAGAAGCGAGGTAGAGAGAAAGAGGGCGGGAATTTTTCCTCCGCAGTGGTTTTGGTCTTCTTATCTGAAATCTCTCTCTTTCTTCACTTCGCCGCGCAAACAGAAGAAAATGTGAGGTGCCATTTGGCAACTGCCAAATCAGAAATCTTCGTCGCCGTTCTTCGATTGTTCTTAACCCTTTGATTACCGGGGCTTCCGTTTATTTTATAATTTTAATATTATTTGTTTTTTTTATTTTTTTATTTGCTTTTTTTATATATTTTTAGTAGAAATAATGTTTATGAGAGACTAATACAAATTATTACAATAACCCCAAAATATGAGATAATTACTGTCTCGGTTTACTCTGACACCACTTCGGTCCATTACTAACTTGAACATCGAAGTTTGTAGGGCACAGTACCGAGTAACCAACAGATATCTTGATGGCTTTCAGCAATGTGAGCGTTTTCCTTCAATTAGAAGTGAAAAATCATGTTCCTAGAGTCAGCTTCTCGTCCTTGTCTGTCATTTTCTTTCAATAATGATTAAGAATTGATATGGTTCGTTCCATATTTATAAGACAGTACTGAGTAATTGTCTTGATTTGTAAAGCAATGCGTACTTGTAATCACATTCTTGCAGGAACATAGTTCGTTTACCCTAAAATACTACACGACAACTAATAACTTTTGCATGGAAAATAATTTGAATGGTGAAGCATGTGAAACCTTCTAGAATGAAATTGCTTTGCACGTGACTGCTTCTCCAAAAATCGACGTTGTTTTTCCGCTGCCAAAGAATCAACCTCTAACAATTGTTGGAATGTCAAATCCGGCTTAAAGAGGAGGAAATGCCGATACCGCCATTTTAAAAACCAGTTCGATCATTTTTCTCAGATGTAAAAATTTAAAATTAAAAAAATCAAAAAATAAACAATCCCTCCCATTTTCTTTAATTTTGGTTGGTATGATACTGTACACTTTCGGCATAAGCTCTCGTGGCTTTGCTTTGGTCTTCCCCAAAAAGTCTCATACCAATGGATATAATATTCCTCACTTATAAACCCACGATCTTCCACTAAATTAACCAACGTAGGACTCACTTTCAATAATTCTCGACAGGCGAAATCGTTAATACCATTATTTTTCTCGTATGTTCTTCCCAATTGATTTAGGTTAAAATCCCCTTACTTATGAGGTGATGTTCTAAAAAATAACAAGGAAAGCAGAAGGCTTTACATAGAATCATAAAAAGGTACTCATGAAGTCATATACAACAAAGACAATTGGACTACACAAGAATAGGATCAAAGACAGCAGCCAAGTCCAGAATCTAAAAGAAAAATATATCCAACAGTACCTGATGGATCCCCCATTGCTTTGTTCTGCTTCTGCTAGGGATGGATGAAGTATCCAACAAGAACACTGATCAAAGCAACCATCAAAACATACATTAAGGGGAAGCCTACTTGGATGCTTCTGTGCCCAGTTTTTCTCAATGTCTCCTGCAACATACATCACTACATACATCAAGGACCTTTATGCTGTAATGATAAAAGATATCTTGAATGAACATGTTTAATGGAGCCTCTATTCGATGGGTTCGTCCATTCCAAAAGTGGTAGCGACAGTTTCGAGTCGTCAAAGAAGTTATTTGATATGGTAAAGAATGAGAAACAATCCCGTGTCATTTCTAAGAAGTGAGGAGATGAATGACTCAAATCATCTATTTGATGGGTTCGTCCATTCCAAAAAGTGGTAACGACAGTTTCGTGGCGTCAAAGAAGTTTTTCGATGCGTAAAGAATGGGAAAATGATCCCACGTCGTTTTCAAGAAGGTGAGGAGATGAATGACTCAAATCATCTATTCGATAGGTTCATCCATTCCAAAAAGTGGTAACAACAGTTTCAAGTCGTCAAAGAAGTTATTTGATACGTAAAGAATGAGAAACGATCCCCGTGTCATTTCTAAGAAGGTGAAGAGATGAATGAGTCAAATCATATTCTTTTTTGTTTTTTGTTTTGTTCCTAATAATTTGGTTCTCTAGATTTGTTTTGTTTTCCCCCTTTGAGATTTTGATTATTAGCTCTTGAACTTATACAAAGTCTCTTATTTAGATCCTAGAAATATTAGACTTCCAACTTTTGAATGACTTAAAAGTGTAAAGACCAAAAAATAATAATATAAGAATAACTTACCAAGTCACGCTTGAGCATTTCCCTTTCTTGAGTGGTTACCATCCTCTCCTGTTTTAGCCTCATTATGGTAGCTTCAGCCTGCATTTGAAAAACAAATTCTTCATTAATAGCTGAGAATTTGGATATATTTAGCAACAACTAACAAAAACAAACGCTGTACTAGATTTTTTTTCTCCTTTCTTTTTTAAATGGAAAATTGAGCTTTCATTCGAAAAAAAAATGAATGAACAACAAAAAAGCAGCCCCACAAGCGGAGCCAAACGTCCATCAGTTTGTTGTCTTCCCCCCCCCCCCCCCCCCC